AGCTGTGGCCTTCGCCTCAGCGCCTCGCACTTTTGCCTCAATTAACAGTTTCACGTTTGGAGGGGGGGATGTCAAAATGTGGTGCTCGCCTCAGTGCATCGTGCAATCGTTCCGAACGCTTGCAGCAGTTCTGAACGTGGTTTCAGCCCAGCGCCGCACACATTCGTTTAAAACTAGATTTAAGTCGGGCCTGTCTTTCTACAGGGGGAATATACAAAAATAGTTTAAAATAGTCAGGGGACTATTTTTGGACGATTTTTGACCATGTTTGAGCATTTTGTTTTTTGTTTTTAATCGGCCTTTAGGGGGACAGGCCCGACTTAAAACTAGATAGCAGTTTCACGGATGAAGGGCGGCTCCCTGTCAAAATCTGGCTTTCTGGGTAGTCGAAGGCCAGACTGTCAGATTGGATTGGGCCCCAAGGGCCAATCTGGCCCGGCCAAACTGGATGATTTGGGTTATTCGCCAGACTGGATTCGCGTTGGCTCCCTCGCCAGATTGCCCCCGTTTGCCAGATTGGGCCTGCCAGATTGGCGCCAGATTGGCTTCGACTACCCAGGCTCTCGCTTTCGCGCCGCACGCATTCGTGTAAAGCACTGCAGCAGAACAGTTGAGCAGTTTCACGGCTGGAGGGGGGCGTTTCAGAATGTGTTTACCGCCATCGCGCCATGAACGTTCGTCAGTTTGCAACGATATCAAGGATGTGATGGGGGTGGTTTTTAACATTGTGATCTCGCCTTAGCGCTTTGCGCATTCTTTTCAAAAACTCGCACTTGTTGAACGGATGGAGAGTGGTTCCTTTCCAAAGTGGGACTCCCGAATCGTTTCAAAAAGTGGGACTCCCGAACGGAGGGCAGTTCATTTTCAAAGTGGGGCTCTCGCCTTAGCGCCGCGCGTACTCGTTTCAACATCTTGCAACAGCTTCACGGATCTAGCACTGACCGTTTTCCACATGGGGCTCTCGCCTCAGCGCCGCGCGCATTTGTCTTTTCATGCAACGTTTAGCAGGATGGAGGACTGCTCTTTCTCAAAATGGAGTTTACGGTTTAGATTTTGTTGAGATGAAAGGCCCGGAACTTCAACGCACGAAGCGCTGGACGGATCCATGGCGGCTCTTTTGCAACATGGAGTTGTTGCTTGAGACTTCTTCGAATCTCATGGCCACAGGTGTAAGTTTGTGCAACAGATGCACGGGTTGGGGGCAGTCCTTCTCCGCAAATGGGATCTCGCTTGACAATCCGTTGAACTGTATGATCATTTTCTTTCGTTCTACTGATTACGCTCCAGTTACATGCAAACTAATTACCTTTCAAAGCGGGGCCCTCGCGAACATGACAGGCAAAACTGTGCTGGTCCTGGGACTGGAGGGTGTATTGCAGCACCGTTGATGCGTCTTGGGTTTTCTCTGGCCCTCCTCTTTCTCCACCTCTGCGACACGTGGGGTGAGTCCCAGCAGGAGAGGGGCCGTCTGCCGCAGGCAAGCGGCGCGAGACCGTCCTGGGTCCCTCTCCTCATCCTGTTCCTCCTTCCCTTCTCCCATGCCTCCTCCCGTTCCTCCTCCCCTCCGCCTGTGTGGGCTTCCCCGAGCCCTCGCTCCTTCAAGACCTGCACGAGGCCTGCACAGGGCCGTGCCCCGAGGGGGTGCCAAACGGGTTGCGGTGCTGTCCCGTGGTGCCCGCCGCCCCAGGGGCGAGCCGTACCGGGGCCATCGTGTCGCATGCCATCGCCGCCTCGTTTTCCCCGTCCTTGTCCCTCAGGCCCTGTCCTTCTCGTGCTCCTTTGCTGCTGCTCCGCGTGTGCTGCTCCTTCTCCTCTCGGCCCTCGTCGTCCTCTCGGCCCCCTCCCGTTCCTTCCCCTCCTGTGCCTCTGGGCCCTCCTCCTCCTGTGCATCCTCATTCTCCTCCCCCTCCTCCTGGTCTTCTGTCCTCCTCTTGGCGTCCCTGGTCCTCTTGTCAGCCGTCCTTCGTCTCCTCCTCTTGCTCCCCCTCCTGCTTCTCGGGGCGAAGCCTGGTGGCTCTGCACGGCGTTTCACGCGTTGAGCTTTCTGCATCCGCAGCTCGTGTGCTCGCATGGTGTGCGCGTCGCTGCACCAATACGACGTCGTGCTCGTAGACACTGGGATTTCAAGAGGAGCCGATCCCATTTAGTTGCACCTCTGTTTTCCCTGCGACCGCGCCACAGCGACTTCCTGCTCTCAGGCAATAGACGTGAGAGTGTTTCAAGAGGGGCCAGTTCCAATTTCAACGCACCTCAATTTTTTGTATCCGTGATCGCGCCACCAGCACGCTGAATGCTGCCTCTATGGATGGTCTCCGTGCAGAGAGCTTCCCGCCCCAAGACCATGGAGGCGCGGTCTGGACGCGATTCGCTCGGCAGCTCGTGACGTGTCCGATGCAGACAGCGCGGGCATGCCAACGACGCGTTCCTGATAATTACCTGTAGTCATCATTCGTGTCACCATCGTTGTCGCCATCATGCTGGTTTTGGTATCCTGCTTGCGTACATCATGGACTGGATGCACTGCCGTGCTTCGTCAGGTCGAGGAGGAGGAGGAGGAGGAGGAGGAGGTGGAGGACGATGAGGAGGAGAAGGATGACGGCGAAGAGGGGTGAGGAGAAGGAGGGAAGGGGAGGCGATGGGAGGGGGAAGGCAAGGTGGAGCTGGGAGAGGGAAGCATAATGCTCTAGGTTCGGCTCCTCTACTCCCCCACCTTCTATCTCCACCTTCGACTCCTCCTTCTCGGCCTTCCTCCTACCCCTTTCGCCTCTCGCCTCCTTTCTCTTCCTTTCTTTTCCCCCTCCTCGCCATGAAGGAGCCCAGTGAGAGAGATGGGAGCCAGGGGCCTTCATTTCGGCATCGCCCTCCCCCTCCCTACTGCCCACCCTCGAATCCCGAAGGCCTTCTCAGTCCTCCTTGCTCCTCCGCCTCCTGCTGCTGCTCCCCTTGACATCCGCCGATATGAGGCTGTCGATCCGCGGCCCCAAAGGTTCCATACCTTCCCTGGAGCCGAAATCAAGGAAGGAACGCCGGACTGAAACCAGCATATATGGTCGAGGGTTTGGGCCCCCCCCCCCAATGCTGATGCCATCGGCCCCTCCCCCCGCGCGATGCGCGATGGTCCCCCTCCCGTCCCCCTGTGGATGTGGTGTGGGCGTGGTGTGTTGATGTGTGTGTGTGTGTGTGTGGGGCGACCCAATGTCCTCCCCCTCCTCCCCCCCTGTGGGTGTGGTGTGGGTGTGCGTGTGGCTGTGATTGTGGCGTCATGCTGACGTGCTTTCGGAAAGCTCTGGTGCTCGACGTCGTCGCCGCCGCCGCCGCCGGTGCCGTCGTCGTCGTCGTCGTCGTCGTCGTCGTCGTCGTCGTCGTCGTCGTCGTCGTCGTCGTCGTCGTCGTCGTCGGCGTTGTCGTCGTCTTCGTCGTCGTCGTCGTCGTCGTCGTCGTCGTCCGTCGTCGTCCGTCGTCGTCGTCCGCCGTCGTCCGTCGTCCGTCGTCGTCGTCGTCGTCGTCGCCGCCGTCGTCGTCGTCGTCGTCGTCGTCGTCGCCCTCGTCGTCGTCGTCGTCCTCCTCCTCCTCCTCCGCCTCCTCCTCCTCCTCCTGCTCCTCCTCCTCCTGCTCCTCCTCCTCCTCCTCCTCTTCCTCCTCCTTCTCCTCCTCCTCCTCCTCTTCTCCTCCTCCTCCTCCTCCTCCTCCTCCTCCTCCTCCTCCTCTCCTCCTCCTCCTCCTCCTCCTCCTCCTCCTCCTCCTCCCCCATCCCATCGGGGGGGGGGGGCCCGAGGACCCTGGGACCCATCCCATCTGGGGGGGGGGTCCTGTGGGCCCGGAGCCCGCGATCACAGATTCGGAGGTCTGGGCCTCGGCACCCATCCGGCTCCCGCGCGCAGAAGGCAGCCACGCACCACGCCGCTTCCGCCCCCGGCCAGGGCCACCCTGGGCCCCGAGGCGGTGAAGATGCCCTCCCTGCCGACGCGGCTTGCAAACACCATCCAGGGGCCCGGCCAGCCCTGGCCGGGGACGGCGGTGGAGGAGGAGGAGGAGGAGGAGGAGGAGGAGGAGGGAGGAGGAGGGAGGAGGAGCGTGAAGATGGAGGTTGGAGCAGGAGGGGGAGGAGGAGGAGGAGGAGAGGGGAGGAGGAGGTGGAGGAGGATGCTGAGGAGGAGGAGGAGGAGGAGGAGGAGGTGGAGGGGCCTCGCCTCCTGCGCCGCCGGGTGCCGCCAGCAGTCCGCGGGCTGCGGGCCGCGCTCTGCGCGCGGCTCCTCGGCCCGCCCCTGCCTGCGCTCCGGGGCCCGGGGTGGTGGTGGTGAGTGCGCTTCCATCTCCGGGGGGGGGCCCTCGTCGCCATGGCCACTTGGCATCGCTCGGACGTGTGCATTTTTCCCTCGGCGAGGGCCATCGAGGAGCATCCTTGATCATTTCGCGAAAAAACCACGCGCGAAACCGAACAAAAACACAGGAAATGGACGTCCGAGCGATGGCCAGGCCACACCTGCTGCGAAGTCCAGGTCGGAGCGCGCGATCCGGGTCGGGTGCGGGAGGCGACTGTCTCTGGAGGTCCTGCAGGACCCAGTCCTCCAGCGTGGCGGGAATGACGTTGGCACTGCATGCGTTTCCCTCCGATTTCGGCGTCCAGGGTTTTTCTGGGTGGCCTGTCGCCTGCAAAAAGCGGCCCGCAGCGAGAAGCTTGGACAGGGGTCGGGATCGAGAATTCTGGGGCCCACGTCGTGAACAAATCCTGGTGTCGGAGGTCAGGGCAGAGCTCCCATCATGCCGTTCGAGCTCGATCGTGGTCACCCTCCTCAATCGCCACCTTCGATGAGACGAAGTGCTGGCTACAAAGACCAACCACAGAGTGCTACCATCATGATCATCCGCTTCTGTGTGGCTCATTGCCACCAACTGCCACTCACATTGCCCATTCTCTCCATGGCTCGCTCAAACTGTCGTCTCCGAGGAGCCTGTGCGATAGCTTCTTCCTTCAGGCAGAAGCCAGCACAGGGCCCACCAGAAATTAGCGGGAGCCTGGCGGACCCAGTTTTGCAGAATATCCCATGATAAGACAGCAAGGAATAACACGTTACCGACGGAGGTTTTGGAGACTTACGCAGCCATTACACATTGAAGTGTAATGGCAAATGCTTATGATTTTTTGATGTTCACACTCAACAGCAATTTCGATACAGCCCGCAAAGCAGCCTTGGCAAGACGACCAGAGGTCCAAGACGCGATCAAGCAGCTCAAAAGGAAGAGCCGTGCCGATGCTGGAGGAATGTTGTTTGAAATGCTTCTGGATAGCGGCCATGTTTTACTTGTCATCTTGGCATCCGTCTTCAATGATGTCTTTCGAGAATCTGGCGGGCGGCCCGCATTCTAAAAGCAGGCCATCATTCGGTTGCTGCACCAGTTTGGCGACGAAATGTTTCCCATTAGCTGCTGTTCTATTTCCATACTCTGAACTATTCGTGAGAGTTTTGGTGAGGCATCTATACAGCACTACTCTACTAGCGACCTGACATTCTCGACAACGTAAGGACCACACTTGATTCTGGAATCATTTCCTCGACAGAAGAGAGTGTCTTCACCATGGTCATCTTTCAGGGCATGGCAGACGAGCACATGTTTTCCTTGTGGTTTGCTGCCCTCGGCTTTCGGCGCTACGCGCCCGTCCCCGTAGTTGGTTCAGCCTACACTGTAGTGGCGTTCGTTCGTTCCGCTCCGCATGCCTGTAGCTGTGGCAAGCCTATGCGACGAGTGTGCGCGGTGCTGCGAGAGCAATCTCATGATAGTCACCTGGGCTCCATGCGTGTAAGTTTTGGGACCATCAGTGTTGATGATCATACACTATGAAGCTGTCTCAGGCGACACGCCCAGCCCATTCTACCGATGCGTCTGGTGTTGCGACGACGAGGATTACTTGAAAGGAAGAGGGGTTTGAAGGACCCCCTCCCATCCCCGCGCCCTCTTTCTGGTGAGGCCAGCTGCCTCGCTCGTACTCTCCTGGCAGAGGCTCTGTCTGGTTGGGCCCGGCTCCTCTTCCCTATGCCTGCGCGCACGCGCGCGCACATGCGCTTGCGTCACGCGCGCGCTGCCTGGTGCGGGCGCGCACCCCCATGCCTGTGTGCGAGTACGGGTGCTTGGCATCGCTCGGACGTGTGCATTTTCTCTTCGACGAGGACCATCGAGGAGCATCCTTGATCATTTGGCGAAGAAGCCGCGCACGAAGCCGACCAAAACACAGGGAGTGGACGTCCGAGCGATGGCCGGGGTGCGCGTGGGCGTTGCGCAGGCCTGCGCTGACGCGCGCTGCGGTGGCGCGCGCAAGCGCGCGCCGGCACGCTGATGTGTGCGCCTGGGCGCTCGGGCGTGCTCGGGCGTGCTGCAGGCCCTGCGGCTCGAGATATTGGCTCCGGCGGGAGAGCCCCCGCTCGCGGCCATGCCCAAGAAGGGCAAGGCCAAGCCCCGGCCGGCGCGCCCGGCGGACTCCGGCGCGGGCAAGGGCGAGGCCGAGGTTCGGGGGCCCGCAGAGGTCACCACCCAGCAAACCACCCCAACCCAACCCGAAGGTCCAAATGTATCCTCGATTTCCAGTGGGGGGGGGGTCGGGGAACGTTGGAAAAACACATGGAACCCGTCCCCCCCCCCAACCCGAAATTCGTGTCAAATTCGGGTCTTCGGGTTGGGTTGGGGTGGTTTGGTAGGTAGTCAAGAGGGGGGGTAGTTCTCCCTTGGTGGGGTTGGGGAGGGGGGGCCCAGCTGGATGCTCACGCTGCCTCCTTCCGGGCGGAGTTCCGAGCCAGCTTCCCCCGACCAAGCCCGCCTCTGCCCCCACCTCACTGACAGAAGGATCCGTTTGGGCTCAGGAGGGGCTGTGGTTTTCGGGCCGTTACAGAGCTAGGTCGGGAAACTTCTTCGTGGCCGAGGCTAGGCGTTGCCAGAAGCACCCCTTCGTTCCTTATCTGGCTCTCCTAATGGTAGCGCGATGCCTGTATCCCAAGGTGGGGTTAGGGAGCGTGGATGCCCACGCTTCCTTCTTCCAGAAGCCGCTCACAGCGATTTTCTTCTGACCCCACCTCTGCTCTTGCCCCTCCTTCCTGGACACCCGCCGACCTGATTTTTTCCAGCCGCGGCCCCGTAGGGCCCGTATCTTCCCTGCAGGTGGTTGTTCGTCCCAGGATCCATGCTTGATGACCCCGGGGCCCGATGGCGGCCCCCAGGGGCCGAAGTCAAGGAAGAAGCGCCGGACTGAAAGCAGCACATCGTCGGAGGTCTGGGCCTCGGCACCCATCCCCAGACGCTCGACGTCCTGACTTTTTCAGGACGGCGCCCCTGGACGTCCCGACCCTTTCCCCGGGACCCGTTTTTCATCCCGAGTCGTTTCTTGACGGTCCCGAGGCCCGGCGAGGGCCCCCCGGGGCCGAGAATAGCCCAAAATCGCCCG